TGTTCTCCAAGGTGCTTAGATAAATAAAGCCCTCCAACTCAAATATAATATTAAGAAAAAGCAAATGAATTGATGTATGCTCTTATTAAAGTGGTAATCATTGGGAAAAGCTAAAAAGCCTCTTTGCAGATAGGTCTTGCTTGCCTTCCTTTGCCCATTTCATATAGAAATCTTACTTGGGGAGCATTCTGACCCTTCTAAAAAACATTAAAATTTTCTTTTTATTATAAAGTATACCATATATGCAGAACAATGTATATAAACCTATGTGCATAGTTCAAATAATTGTAGTTTTGCCTTTTTAAAAATGTGTTTAAAAGATTTTTTTAATGTTATGGGGTGCCTGGGTGGCTCAGTCGGTTAAGCATCTGCCTTTGGCTCAGGTCATGATCTTGTGGCTCATGAGTTCAAGCCCCATGTCAGGCTGTGTACTGACAGCTCAGAGCCTGGAGCCTGCTTCGGATTCTGTGTGTGTGTCTCTCTCTACCCCTCCCTGCCCCTAACTTTCTTTTCTCTCTCTCAAAAATAAATAAACATTAAAAAAATTAAAAAAAATTTTTAATGTTTATTTATTTTTGAGAGAATTTTTTTTAATGTTTATTTATTTTTGAGAGACAGCACCGTGTGTGCGTGTAAGTGGGGTAGGGGCAGAGAGAGAGACACAGAATCTGACACAGGCTCCAGGCTCCAAGCTGTCAGCACAGAGCCTGACACCAGGCTCCAACTCAGAACTGTGAGATCATGACCTGAGCTGAAGTCAGACACTTAACTGACTGAACCACGCAGGCACCCCCAAAAATGTTTTTTTTTAATTTATTTTGAGAGAGAAAGAGAGTGCACACATGCAAGCGAAAACACAAGGGGAGAGGGAGAGAGAAAGAAACCCAAGGAGGCTCCATGCTCTCAGCGAAAAGCTCAGTGTGGGGCTCCTTCTCACTAACCATGAGATCACGAGCTGAGCCGAGTGAAGAGGTGGACACTTAACCGACTGAAGCCACCCAGGTGCCCCATTTGGCTTTTCTTTATAGAATCACACCTGTTTGTATTCTTCAACAAAAAATGAAGTATTAAAAACTCTGTGTTTTATAAAATGGGATCATGCAGTGAGTATTCTTTCATTCTACACTACATTTGCATGTTATCTTTCATTCTGCACTTGTGACAGTCATTTGTATTGTTGCATGCAATTGTAGTTTAAAAAAAATTGCTGTATGGTATTGCAGTTATGTAACTGTTCTACAATATATTTACCCATTCTACTAAGGATGGGTATTTAGGTTGCTTTCAGTTTGTGTCTATTATGAATGATGTATTACAAATAAATCTGTATATATCTTCTGCTGAACACTTACAAGGATTTCTTTTATTTTTTAATTTTAATCTATTAAAAAAAATTTAATGTTTATTTATCTTTAAGAGGAGAGAGAGAGCGAGCAGGGGAGGGACAGAGAGAGAGGGAGACACAGAATCCAAAGCAGGCTCCAGCTTCTGAGCTGTCAGCACAGACAGAGCCCAATGTGGGGCTCGAACCCACGAACTATGAGATCATGACCTGAATCAAACTCAGATGCCCAACTGACTGAGCCACCCAGGTGCCTTTACACGATTTCTATAATGTTTACATCTAGGAGGGAATTGCTGGGTTACAGTGCATGCTCATAATTAAATTGATTTATAATAATTATTATAAATGCTCTTTTCCAAAGTACAGTTTATCTTATTTGCAGAGTCTGCATTTATGATTTCTCCTACTTGACAGAATTCATCTGTAACTCCAAAGTCTATACTCATGCTGTTTTCATGGTGAATTACAGACAGGTGCAGGGTGGTAAAATATTTTGAGTTGCCAGTGTGCACACTCCCAGCTGAGGCTAAATAAGGTGACAGTGCCTTCTTGTTTCAGCCCTCTTACTATAAACAAGTATCCTTTATATGTCTGTTAGTGCCAAGTTTTTCATATTTTTGTGCTTTTCATTGATTTCACCATTTAAAATGGCCCCCAAGTGTATGCAGTGCTGAAGTACTGTCTAGTATTCCTAAGCACAAGAAAGCTATAATATGCCTTACAGAGAAAATATGTGTTTTAGATGTTTCCTTTAGGCATTAGTTATAGTGCTATTAGCCATGAATTCAATGTTGGTGAATCAACAATATATATTAAATAAGGTGTCTTTGAACAGAAACACACATAAAACAAGTTTATGTATTGATTGGTTGACAAAAACATTGTGACTAGAGACTTGCAGAGAACTATTCCTTTCCTTCCCCCAGGAGCAGTGGGTTCACCATTTGCTAATTCAGTGTTTGTGGCAACTTTATAGAACATAACTACTCCCGATAATGAGAATCAACTGTAGCTGGATATATTTGCACTTCTACCAGCAATGGATGAGAGTTCCCAGTGAGCCACATTCTTTTATTTTTTCCAATGGGCCACATTCTTGAAAACATTTCTTAATGTCAGATTTTTAAAAATTTTTCCCATCTTGTACATGTGCAATAATATTCCATATATATGTCCTTTTAAGTTTATTTATTAATTTTGAGAGAGAGCATGAACAGGGGAGAGGGGCGGAGGGAGGGAGGGAGGGAGGGAGAGAGAGAGAGAGAGAGAGAGAGAGAGAGAGAGAATCCCAAGTAGGGGTTCTCTCAGCAGGAATGTCAGTGGGAGCCTGACATGTGGCTCAATTTCAAAAACTGTGAGCTATGTCCTGAGCTGATATCAAGAGTCAGACCCTCAACCAACTGAGGCACCCAGGGGCCCCTCCATATATATATATGTTTTGTGATAATTTTTCCCAATCTGTGACATGCCTGTTCATTCTTACTAATTATGTGTGTGATTCTCTTCCTTTTCCTTCCTCTTCTAATGGTAGCAGTTATTCCCTTATGAGGCTGCCATAAAACAGAAAATAGAGGGTATAGAAATCAGAGACTATGCATGATTCACTTCCTGTAGGTTTCTGTACTCCTTCAAAATAAAGATTCTTATACGTCACAAATTCACTTTATAGACAGTAAATTCAGATTACATATTAGAGTTATACTGATCCACAGCCTCAGTGTTTTTTGTTGTTTATTAATGAGCTAGTCAGGGGCCAGGCACAGATCTCTAGTGAAATTAACAGTGAGCATTTTCCATTTTTGGATTCGTGGGTTTGATCTCTTTATTCATGGATCTTGTCAGTAGCACCTGTGCTTTAATTTATTTCTATGACCAACCAGGTAGTAACTGAAATCCTGCTGTTCTACCTATGCTAGGTGACATGGGGTAGGCAAAAGACATATAGGATTTGGCTTTTGCCTGCTGTAATCTGATAGCACACTTGAGCAGACAGGACCTGTGTGACTGCAACATACCATAGAATATCAAAGTGCATAGTACAGACATTTAGAAGAGAATTTAGATTTTTTTTTTCCAACGTTTATTTATTTTTGGGACAGAGAGAGACAGAGCATGAACGGGGGAGGGGCAGAGAGAGAGGGAGACACAGAATCGGAAACAGGCTCCAGGCTCTGAGCCATCAGCCCAGAGCCTGACGCGGGGCTCGAACTCACGGACCGCGAGATCGTGACCTGGCTGAAGTCGGATGCTTAACCGACTGCGCCACCCAGGCGCCCCTAGAAGAGAATTTAGATTTAAACATGTGTCAACCATTGATACACAACAAGTGCACAATAAGTAAAAAGGGAGATTCTTATTCCTTATTTGGCGATCGCATTATCCACCTTTTTTCAGCTTTTATCTGAAAGTACTATTTATGTATTTATTTGCTTTCTTACATTTTTGTCTGTCTACCCATATGAGTGTAAATTTCATGAGCTGCTCAGGTTTGCTATGAGGAGAACACCTTGTAAACAAATAGTTACACATTTGTGGGATAAACGATATATGAAAGGGGTATTCTTTGTGCTATTGAAACATGGGCGAGCCTGTGGCCTGGCCTCAGCGTACAGAAAGAACTTTCTAGAAGAGCTAACATTTGCCCTGTGCAGGAAAACCTCAAGCATACATTTACTGACGTGGGTAGATGGATCAAAAGGAGTGCATATTTAACATTTTGTTAGATATTGCTAACTTGCTACATTGTGTTTTGAAGAAAGAGTAGGAGTTTATCTGGCAGAGAAAGGTACAAGAAGGATGCTATTCTAGGTGCAGGGAACAGCAGGGGCGAAGACATGGCGTGTACAAACAATTGTGCAGTTTGGTGGGATGTGTGGTGGGGAATGGCCAGACACAGGACTGTAAAAGAATTTTGGGCCAAGTTAAGACTTGGGTGCGCTAAAGGCAGTAGGGGCAGATCTCTCAGTGGAAGTAATTTACATCAAACTTTAAAATGTGAATAGGATGTGAGGTAAAGATGAGCAGGGACATGGATTCATTGTTGTGGATTGTATCTTACCTTCCCCCCCCCCCCCCCCCTTATTTCCTGGATGCCTGCCTTACCTTCCCACCATTTATTGAGTACCTGTTACATGCCAGTCACTATTCTAGGCACTGAAGAGAGCGAGGCAAAGTTCTGCTTTCATGGAACTTGCATTCTAGCGGAGGAGATACAGAATGAACAGGTGAAAGAAGGAGAGGAAGGAAAGAAGGAAGTCCAGATGATGCCATGGAGGAAATTGTGAAGTGAAGTTCGAGTGCAGGGTGAGAGGAGGGGAGGGTGGCTCAGACAGCCTGGAGGGCAGATGTGGCACTTACCTCCTGCCACAGCCCTGCCCTGCCCCAGATGGTTGCAGCCTCACTGATCGGCCAGGATATGATTTCTCTCCTCTCTGAACTCACCTTCTGATCTCGTGATACCATCTCTTGCTGCCTTCTACTTTTCATTTTTCATCTCCTGTTCCTTGTAAACTCCTTGAGGACAGGCTGAGCTTTTCCATGTTTGATCCCACACTAGAGCACAGTGCCTTGAAGCACAGAACTCCAATTTTAAAACCATTGCCGAGAAACTTAGCAAATTACATTTGTGTTTTTCTTCTCTTCTCTTGATTTTCAGGTCATTGCATGAAACATGGTCACTGTTGCATCCTTTTGCTCCAGCTGAGTCGTGCCCACCTGCGTCTTCAATCTTTGCGTTGACAGCTACATTGTTCCACTCTCCAAAAGACGAAGGACCTCTCAGATTGTGCTCCTTACCTCATAATGAGAATTAGCAGCAGGCCTGGATGGATTCGTAAGCAATGTGAGCCTGCTCTCCTGCAAATGTCTTTAATAATAGATGATGAGAAAGGCAGAAGGTGCGACATATTCATTTCTTTATTATAGAATGTCCCTGTGGGTTTTCAGTGCCTAAATTTAAACTAAAAAAGAAAGAAAGCTATAATTTTGGGCACTTTGTTTGCAAGGAAACACTTTCAGTGTGGAGTGCAATAATGGCTCTTTTGGTTTCAGATGGATTTCCAGAGTTTATGGAGGCAACTTGTTTCTTGGTTTAATTGGAGATATTTTTAATAAGGGTGATGTGAGATTATTTGTGACCAGTTGATTTAAGCAGGAAATGGATTATTATTAGAAATACGGGTTAGATCCATCTTGAAACCTTCAGAAAATTATAACTCTAAGCCTTTGTAGGAGAAGTTATTTTTTTCTAATATGGCAGTAAAGATGTGGTGGTACCGGCTTTTAGAAACGTGGGGTGTTAGAACTGGAAAAAGCATTACTGATCCAGCCTCTTCATCCAGTAGATGTGAAAATGAGATCCAGAGCCATAAAAGGACTTACTGAGAATCACTTGTCCCAGGCAGTGATTGAGGCATGCTGACAACTTAGGTCTTTTAACTTGTGCACATTTCCCTCCATCTTCGATATGTGATAAGTAAAAGAGCTTGGTGGACTGTAAGATGTTATACATATGTGAACTGCTATCATCCCATCATCTCAGTGTGCTGCCTCTTATCCTCATTTGACCACTGTGGGCCTTAGCTTACTTGTGTATAAAATAGGTGACCTTAGTTGATATCCCACTTCTCTTCTATGCCTAGAATTCCATTCTTTCATGACTCTTTTTTAAGAAAATAGAGATTGTGATTGGGAGAACCTTGGAATTCACCAAGAACCTCTAGACTTTTGCCTCCATTGACTCTTCTTCTGCAGTCTCACCTCTTGCCACATCATGCCTATCTCATTCCCTGACCTACTGGCTGAACTAAAAGTACAGCTCCCCAAGTGTCCCAGGTTTTCTCATTATCTCAGACCATCTGCACATGATGTGCCCTCTGCTGTCTCTGCCCTGCTGACTCCTGTTTGTTCTTTAAGGCTCGGTTTGAGCATCAGCTTCTCAGGAAGCCTTTCCTGATGTCCTCTTATAAGCTTCTCCAGAACCCAGTGCTTCCTGTAGTAACTGTCTACTTAGATCTCTCATTCTCTCTCCTTCCAACCTGTGAACTCTTTGGTCTGAATACCAGTGTCTGCACTGTGTCTGGAATATAGGAGAGGCTCAATAATTGTTTGTTTTTAATAATACGTAGATAGATTGCTGATTGGTTTTCTCCAGGAGATGACGAGCAGTTCCACACTAATGCCCATGTCTTGTTTTTCAGCAGAGTTTGATTTCTGGGTACTGGATGGTGGGCACAGCCCATCTATGTCTTGGATGGAATAATGAGGGTATTACGATTCTTTTTCATGAGCCACCTCTGAACATTGCCCCTGTGAAATCCTTTGGTGCCATTTATTGGTGGAAGAAGCTCAAGGTGAATGAATTCTGAGCCTTCATCACTGAGGATAGCATGAAGCTAGTCACTTGCCATCTGGCATGGCCTAAGCCCATGTTTCATGGAGGGGGCTCCGGAAAGATATGTTGCAGACCCAAAAAATGAATGGCTCCTTGTGAGTTTACAAGATCTAGTGTACATTAGCAGTCTCTTTAGAATTCTGAGGAGATAGGTGTAAGGCTTCTCTCTGCAGCTGGAGGATGGGGAAAGGTCAGCCATTCTCCAAAATTCTGAGATTTCTCCGTCTGAGTTTGCTGAGTTGCTTCTAAAGTATGTTAACTCAGGCTGCTGCTAATTGCTGCTAGTTACTGGTAAATTGCTGGCAGTAGCAAGTGGCTGTCCTGGAAGAAGCCAAGGCATATCTTAAGACAGCAGGAGTGGGGATAGAACACTGTAAATGGCACTAAGGTTCCAGAAGACCCAGAAGCCTAGTCCTAGGCAGCCCAACAGGCCCATTAGCAGGGAAGCCCAGAAGGAAAAGCCCAAGGCCACTGAGATTATGGGAATGGTGTGATTCTGGGAGGAACGGGGATTCTGGTGTGTTAATTTTCACACAATGAATGAAAGCTGGCCACTAAGCTTGAGGAAAGTTGTTTCTCAACACCTTAGTGTGTCTGAATTCTGAAGGAATCTAGAATAAAATAAGATAAATAATACCAGATGGAAATAAGGAAATTCAAGATTGTGAAAATTAATGGAGGATATGTACACAACATGCAATATAAAAGTAATTCCAGACTGTTGAAATTACTTAATTGTTGGCTTTCTCCTCCTCTCTCCAGCATAGTTGTGAGGGAAGCTTTTCCCCTTCATCTCTTCTTTTCTAGGCCGGGGTGGGGATGTGGATGTGGGCAGTCCTTTCTATTAACAGAGGGAGAGAGAGGGAGAGAGAGGGAGTGAGAGAGAGAGAGAGAGAGAGAAGACAAATGAACATTGCTAACCCAGAATTCAAGCAGTGAGGCTCTTCTACCCTATCTGTACCCTATCTAAATGTGTTAAATTACCCTGATCACTTTTCTCTTCTTTCTCTCTGTGTGTTATAAATGGATTTTTAACAAACCATTCCACGACTTCCTCATAGTATTTTTGGCATTTTTGGTAGCCTGAAATGGCATCAAGATAATTTTCTATAGGACACTGGTAGATATTGGCTATCAGAACCTCATGGGACCCTTGACAATTGTGCATGAGATCCTTGTGGGCAGAGATAAGCTGGAAGTTACTATAAACAAAGAGACTTCTGTTTGCTGTTGGAGCAGTAATCTGTGACTGGTGCTCCAGGTAGGAGGTTTCTGGTCATGCTCCATCTCTATGGTCTGTTCTGGTGATTAGGTGAAGACACACAAGATAAGCTAATCAAATTTAAAGATGTGGTAAATATTGAAAGGTTTTCATGTTGGAGAGAGATTTCATCTGTTCTGATTCTGAGTTGAGTTGTGGGAAATCAATTCCATTTTGGGCCGAATGATGAGATGTAATGGGGAGGGGCAGTGTGGGGACTGGTCATGGAATAGAACAAGGTGCTGTCGAGTGCACAGAACTCTGAGTGAGGTGAGGTGGGGAAGAATGAGAACAAGGCTCAGTCCTAAAAGGTGTGTATGGCAGAAGGGAGGTAAGAAAACAAGTCCCAGATGAGGAGTTCCACAGAGCAGGTGAACAAAACCCAAGGTACCCTAGTAGAGAGGATCAGTGATTTCCCTGGAGAATATGAAGGAAACTGCTAACCCCCAGCATACTGGGAACCAGACCTTTCTAGTATTTAGGGTCTTCTATGCCTGTGATAAGTCAGCCTGGCTCACTACATACTATTCATAGATATAGGGAGTATGGATACCCCAAACCTGTTCCAGCAATCACTAGAGATTCTGCCCTCATACTGTTCCTAATCAGTTCCCATCCTGATTCCTTCAAACGCTGAATCACTGTGATGTGAACCTTTGGGCTGAGATTTTGAAACTTGGCTTTCTTAAAGAAGTGTTTTTCAAAGTTGTTTGACCTTGACCCTCAGTAATATATATTTTCACATCACAATCCAACATACATACATTAACATATACATATATATAAAACCAAACCAAGAGTTTCATGAAACTAACCCTTATCACATTAAATGAACTCTAATGTAGTCGATTCCATTTCACTTAAAAAACTGCTAATCACAGCACAGTAAATTGATGTGCATCCCACTAATAGGTTGTGACCTATAGTTGGGAAAAAAATAGTGTTAAAAGATTCAGGCTTGACTTTTGCTCTTTTTGCTGTGAGGCTACTGTGTGGCCTTGGGTAGCAGCCTCTGACCTTTATCTCATGGAACCCAATCCCTGACACCAATCAAATGCCTAAATTTCTTCCTCACAGATGACCACAGATGAATGGGAACTTGCTAGGGAACCCAAACACTTATGACCCAAATAATTTGCATGTATTTCTTCATGTGATTCTCTTAATCATCTATCCATTTGAATATTTTTTATTTTTCAAATTGTTTTCATTTATTTATTTACTTTTAATATTAAATTTATTGTCACATTGGTTTCCATACACCACCCAGTGCTCATCCCAACAGTCGCCCTCCTCAATGCCCATCACCCACCCTTCCCTACCTCCCACCCCCCATCAACCCTCAGTTTATTCTCAGTTTTTAAGAGTCTCTTATGGTTTGGCTCTCTCCCTCTCTCTTTTTTTTTTTTACCTTCCCCTCCCCCATGGTCTTCTGTTAAGTTTCTCAGGATCCACATAAGAGTGAAAACATATGGTATCTGTCTTTCTCTGTATGACTTATTTCATTTAGCATAACACTCCAGTTCCATCCATGTTGCTACAAAAGACCATATTTCATTCTTTCTCATTGCCAAGTAGTATTCCATTGTGTATATAAACCACAACTTCTTTATCCATTCGTCAGTTGATGGACATTTAGTAAGTGTAGGGAACCCAAACATTTACGACCCAAATAATTTGCATATACTTCTTCCTGTGATTCTCTTAATCATCTTATCCATTTGAATATTTTAATTCTTCTTTCACAAATGAGGAAAATGAGGAGCAAAGATGTTGTGTGATTCATCAGTGGTTACAAAGGTAATAAGTGGGATAATTGGGACCCATAATTGTTCAACTATCGTTTCATAATGTGCCTCTCCTTGTACCAATGAGACTCATATCCACTAATCTCTCTTATAGAGCAACTCTGGAGCTTGAATTCCTTTTCTATTTTCCCTCTTGAATCTCAAACCCTCTCTTTGCTATATATGCCACTGGAGTAACTCAAGAATGAAGATTTTATGTAGCAAATTTTTTTTGTCTTGTACACATATGTTTGGTGACTGTCCTCAGTCCTGTGGGTAACGGTATATATAACCTTGTCTTATCCTGACAAGTATTTCCTAAGCAATATTTTGACTAATGCAAAAGGTGGCATCACAGAAGCAGCTGTCTGTTATGTTGTCTCCAATGACATATGCCAATCTTCTTCCTTATATTAGGAACAGGAGGTATATATGATTTATATCCTCAAGCCATGC